GGTAGGGTAGGGTAGGGTAGGGTAGGGTAGGGTAGGGTAGGGTAGGGAGGAGAGGAGAAGGCTGACAGAGTTTTAGCAAGACAGGACTTCTGTTGATAGCATTATCACTCCTTCCTGTATAAGTTACTTTTCTATTGCTGTGACAGAGCACCATGATCAAGACAACAATAAAAAGAAGATTCTGTTTGGATTTACATTTCCAATGGGCTCTCTCATATACAGAAGACATCCTTGGGGTAGTGTCCTTCAGGGCAGGAGTCGTGGTGTAACAAACAGCTAAGAGTTTGCATCTTTCCAAAGTGACCATTCCTCCTAAGACCCCAGATAGTATTACCAACTGGGGACAAAGTGTTGACATACCTGAATCTATTTCAAATCACCTCACTGTCCATGGTGATCTGGGTTAGAGAAAAGAAACAGGCTATAAGATCTAACAGGCTATCAGATCTAACTCAAGCACCTCCCTAGACTCACTGTCCCTTCACCAAGATCTCAGAGACATTTTTGCCTGAGAATATAATCTTTCCTCCTCTACTCATTGGCTGTGTGTCTTAATCCAACTTGACCCAGGCAATGTCCTTAGCATTACCAGAGCAAATTTGTAACTCACAGTAAGAGAACTATTACTAAGCCACAACTGACTCTGTGTCCTCCTTTGTTCTGCAGTAAAATGCTAAAGTCAAAATTGCTTGGAGGCCACAGCACTGACCACTGGCAGACTGGAGAGAATCAAGCTCCAATCCTACCCTTGGTACCTAGAGAACTTCTGTCTTCCTCTGGATGTTTTCACAGCTGAAGAAGGAAAACGCTGACCTATGAGAGTAATCACCATATAAATTCGATAACTGTACCTGTCTCTCATATGATAGACACAGAATTACTATTCTTAGAAACTCTTAAGAGAATGAAAGAAATTAGGGAGCGATTGTTGTAGTTATCAAATTTAGCTGAGGATCTTTTATTTTTCCTTTATGCTATGTTCTACCTCAAGGAGATAATGGCAGCCACTGTTCCAGTTGAGATATGTAGCATCCACCATCCCCTCATAATAAACTCATGTGTTAAAGGCTAGGTAGCCAGTCAATGGAGATTTGGAGCTGTGACTGAGTCCTGAGGTCTCTGACTTCATTTCATGGACTAACACACTGAAGTAGTCATAGTCAAAGGAATGTTAGGAACCTACAGCCCAGTTGGAAGAAGTAGTTATGGGGGGTGATGTTGAAGGACATGCCTTGTCATGAATTGTTTCTTCTACTTCCTTAACACCGTGAGGTGAGCATCTCTGCTGCCTCTGCAATGACTCCTACCTTAGCTCCGACCCAGAGTCAGCCAACTATGCACCATGAAACCATGAGCCAAAGTGAGTATATTGTTCCTTTAAGTTGTTTTCCCTGGGTGTTTTGTCACAGTGATATAAAGAAAATTAACACAGACACTTTTGAGACCATCTCAAACAGGTATGGCAAGCCCCCCAAATTTCTTCCAAACCAAGAATTGTAACAAGTTCTATGAGGCCTTGTCATTGAGAAAGATGCTTCAAGTTTAAATGTCTACAGCTGTCTACAAAGCAGTAATTACAGTGGGCCACATCTGGGCACTGCAGCAAAGTAGAATTGGAAATGGTTTTAATGCAGACATTACATATTTCCACTTGGAACTTCTATTTTAAAAGAAGCCAGAAACTTGGTTTCATGCGAAATTTCATTCTTTTTAAAATTTCTAACTAAATAGAAATATGAAAGCTATCCTACTGGTAATTGAGCTTCAAGCTACTGATGTACAGATCGCATTTTAGAATTATTTCTTGCTGATGATTCCAGACAACACAGGGAGAAATTCAAGCTTAATAAATGTACTCAGAAGAGGCTAAAGTGTTATGATGCCTCCATTTAGTTATTCAGTCTTGAAATTCTTGGTATAATGAGTTCTTGGTATGTATTTCTGTAATAAACAGATATACTGCGGCATTATTGAGTCTGGTCATTTTCAAGCATCTTTAGCATCTTCTTGTTTGTTTTTCTTTCTTTTTTTTCTAGCAAGCAGACAGCTGAAGACAGTTACATCAGTTGTTTCCTGGAATGCCTAGGAGCCACGGCCGCAGGGCAATAAGGTAACAGTAAAGGATCAGCAGGAAGAGGCCTCAGACAGGCCCTCCGCAGTTCTGAGGCTGAACTGTGAAATCATTAGGCAACTGGGGACGTGAATGTGGTGCCTTCATCTGAGGAGGCATCTGCTCTACTGCCCTCACCCAGCCTGTGGAAGGGCACACAGAAGTTCAAAGTGAGGCACCGTCCTGTCCCCATCCACTTTCTTCTCTGTCACAGTTCCCAAGAACATGGATCCATCTGAGAATGCAAAAGGAACCCTCCTAAATGACTTCCCTTAATCCTCAAGAATCCTTAGAGAAGCTCCTTGAGAGGGTTTCTGCCTCCTGAAACTATGACAAGTCCCATTACTTCTCACTTCCCTCCTCCTCCTTAGCCATGAGAAACTCTCCTACTCTCCAGCAAGACTCTCATCCTGGAAGAGAGCCCCACACCTGAGAAGGCTTATGTGCATGTGCCACCTCTTAAGAGCATATTTTGTAGCAGGAGTGAGATGACCTGAGAATCACGATCAAGGATTCTTTCCTTTGAAATGTTGCCTCCCTGTAGAGATAGTTCAGATTTTCTTTCTTAGAGAAATCTCCGCTGTGTACTGGGCTTTCTATTTGAAGAACAATATAATTATAGCAAAGGACAGAGAACAGCATGCAGATTAAAATCATAGGTTCTTGGGCTTTCTACAAACCTCGGTGCTAAATTGAACAGTCCTGGGGTGTCCTTTAGTTCACCTTCCATTATAAGTGTCTTCAAAACTGGAAAGCTTTTCAAATCAGGTATGTACCCGGCTGGGAGCTTCTTTCTCCACTTAAGCACTTAGCTTCCATGCCTTATGTTAAGTAGCTCATTAAATTGCCTTCTTACCTGTTTATTTTCCTCAGAAATTACCTCTTTTGGCTCTTCCACCAAGTTTCTTTGATTTCTTAGTTTGAGCAGAGAATGATATACTGGAGTCATTATTATAATATTTAAAAAAAAGAAATCCTCCTGGATCCTCAGAATAACCCAAACACCCCACCCATACTTCAAAACTCCTTCCACAAAATGAGGTCAAATTTCTATTCACAACGTTTCTCTGATTCTTCCCTGACTGTCTCCTAGCCTTTCCTCATCATTCATTCACCCAGTTAACCACCACACATGCTCAAATCATTAAAAGCAAACTTCAGCAGAAAGTATGCTTCCTGGCCCGAGAAATGGGATAGTGCTTGCTTCCTTTTGTTCAGCAGCAAGTATGGCGGAGTGACCGCTTGTTCTCCATGCTTATTCAGCTAAAGGACGAAGGCCCGGAAATTTTCAGCAACCACATTCAAGAAAGGGGCTTCAGGATAGCACTAGAAGATAAAGACCTTTATTGATAGTACAGAGACACAGTTTGCTACAGTTCCATAATGTGGTTTTTAAGTAACCTGAGATAGCTATCTCTCTCATTAGATGTCAAAGTTAAAAGACGCACATAACTCATAAACAATCTCATCCCATTCCTGAGAAGCTGGTACATTCAGCAAGAATTACCGGGGTTGCCATCTTGTCTGTCAGACGCCATGTTTTCCACAAAATCACTAATTTATTAGAAAAGATAGAAAATGATTACTTATGTTTCTAAGCCTTTATCAATTTTGTTTTTTTTGCAACATACCACCCAAAGAGATTAATTTTTTTAAGGAAAAGAATTTTATTTCTATAAACACAACTATCTCTATCTTTAAAAAATATGGTTCCCAGCTATCACTGTCTTCCGTTTTTTATGGTAGCTTGCCTCACCTCACCAACTCTTCACTCAAGAGAGAATCTGCCTTCCTTTTAGGATAACCTTAAGAGAACCAATAGTGCATTTCCCTATTCATGGTGAAGCCCTTTAACAAGAATCATTGAGTGAAGGGCCACAGAAACAACTGATAGCTGGCTCACATTGCAATCTCTTTCCCGGAAGCACTTCCACTTTGCATCTTTAAAGCCAGAGCCTCACTTAGTACTCAAACCTAGTCTCAAACACCTAATAGTCCTGTGTCTG